GACAGGGTTTCACTGAATTGCTTAGACTAACCTCGATAAGTTGCTGAACCTGGCTTTGAACTTGTGATCCTCCTGCCTCAGCCTTCCAAGCAGCTGGGATTACAGGCATACATCACTGCACTCAGTTTTAAAACTTCCAACATTTCGAGGTCAGTAATAGAAAGAACGGCTGATGGAAAAAAAGAAGAAGGGAAAAAAAAAAACTTGAAGGAATGGTCATAGAGGTAGGAGGAAAACCAATATGGCAAGTGCCAGAACACAAGTGGAGAAGTGTTCTAAGGAGGAAACTGTGCCTTGTGTTGATGCTGCTGAGAAATGCTGTCAAATGGGACTGAGCATTGACTTCTAGATTTAGGAATGTGCACATTGCTGGTGACCTTGACATGCATGGGGCAGTGAAGACAGAACGTGTCAAAAGAGAGAAAGAGTGCCCATCCACTAGACACTCGGCCCTGAAAAGCTCTCTTAAACCTGTATTTATCAAGACAGTACTTTCCTAAGTGAACCTCTGATGTTATTTCTAAAAATAATGTTATCCAGTTAGAAATAAATACTTCAATGCCTTGTGTAGAGAGAGAAGTATTATAGTCCTTTAAGAGCATGGATTTTGAAAACAAGATCAGGCCTTGATTGAATCTCAGCTCTGCCTCTTTCTAGCTATGTGACCTCAAGAGGAAATCAGTTCTTTATCTGTAAGATGGAGAAAATAATATAAGCCCCTCAGTGTGAATGTAAAGATGAAATAAAAAGCATCTTGGGTGATGCCTAGATCGAAATGTTAAATAACTATTATTAAATTTAAGTTTGTTACAGGACAAAAATGCTAAGTATTTACAATTTTCCCTTACTCTACTTTCTATACTTTTTAAGAATGATTCCTGAGGAAGATTTCTCAATTTTTCTAAGGAGATATAATAGTTTTCTATTGCTGAATACAAAACAAATGAGAATAAACTTTGCAATTTAAAATCACAATCTTATTATCCAACAGTTTTGTGGGTCAGGTACCCAGATGTGGAATAGCTGAGTTCTTCGCTCAGTATCACAAGACTAAAATCAACCCCAGTACCAAAAAAACAAACAAACAAACAAACAACAACAACAAAAAAAAACATTGGCCAGGCCTGAGGTTTCATCTGGAGCAGTGTGCAGGTAGGTCCTCATTTGACCTCACTGATTGTCCACAGGATCCATGTCCTTATTGTGAGACTGAGGTCACTGTTTCCTTGCTGGCTTCATGGGTAGTAAAATAAATGAGCTAAGTGGGCAGAATGTGTGGGATGGCAAGAATTAAGGTTTGAAAGATTTTATGGCTATGGATAATGCTGTAGTCTGAGCTATAACTAAGCAAACTGGGTAACTGGGGTAATAAGGAAAAGGAGAAGCTTGTGCAAAGTGAGATCAAGGGACAGAAAGGCTGGGTGTCAGTATACAAGGACCTAAAGTTTGAATTGAACAAGAATAGCAGTAGGAACAATAGTAACTAAGATGACAGAGAGCTGAGTGCTAAAATTGTCTATGATTGAAAGCCAATAGGAAGAGGAAGAGGGTGGAGGGTCATATAATCCCCAAGGTATATGTTTCACATAAGTTTGGGATTTTTGAAAGAAGGGGAAAGAGAAAGGAATTGAAGAACTAGGAAGACACCTGCCTGCATTCTGTTCTCCCCCATCAAATTCTATGATACATGAAAATGGGGGAAGCTGTGGCCTCAAGGGAAAGCCCAGTTTCCATTAGAGATAAAAGAAGTGCCAGGAGAGAGATTTTTTTTTTTTAAATGACAAATTTAAAAGTGACTTTATTTTATATTCAGATATAACACCTGCAGTTTTGACCCAGGAGAGCTATTCAATGTACATTTCATTCTCTTCATGCTCAGTGATAGCTAATTAGCATCCTTGTTTTCACTTCTTTTTTCCAATTCCCTTACTGATTTTCTCAAATCTAGAGTTCCTAAAAGTGGTCCTAATGAAGATCAGCCCCACTTAAAATTATCTCATTTCTTTCCCTTTTAACTAAGTCCTTTAGGTGTTATCTTCACCCAGACTCTTTCTGTCTAGGTTAACTTAACTACACTGTTATCATTTGCTTAAGCCTAACTTAGGAAAAGAGAGGAGGAGAATGCCATGTTTCCTAACTCATCCTTCAATCTGACCAACATGTTACTTTTCATTCATTCTCTTAAAAATAGGGTTGATAGATTCTCTTGATTTTGAACCAAAGCCTAACTTTGAAATTTTATGTTTAACTACTCTGTTGCCCCTTCAGTATAATAGCTGAACTTCCACAGACTCAGTAACAGGTTTTTGAATTGTATGTATGATAGGTTTCTACAGCACTGAAACAAGGCCAGATTACACCAACAGAGCTCTGTCGGAAATGTCTCTCCCTTATCCAGAAGACCAAGTTTCTAAATGCTTATATAACTGTATCAGAAGAGGTGGCCTTAAAGCAAGCTGAAGAATCAGAGAAAAGATATAAGAAAGGTAAACTACTTCCAATTATGCTTAAGTCTAGCACCAGAGAAAGAGTTTAATTGAATATAGCAGTTTCCATTTGGCAAGTGAAGCTATAAACGTAAAACATACTCTTATTTAGAGAAGTATAATAAAATGAGGTAAGTGGGTATGTGATGCTTTGTAATATCCAACTGGAATAATTTCTAACATAAATTTTATCTCTGAAGAAATTTTATTTCCAAAAATTACAAACAACTTTAAATTTTGAACTGTTATCTCTCATAAGCCTCTGTTGGTTTTTTAATGCAGGTCAATCACTTGGAGATTTAGATGGAATACCTATTGCAGTAAAAGACAACTTTAGCACATCTGGCATTGAGACAACATGTGCATCAAATATGTTAAAAGGTAAAGTATAATTGAAGCATTAATAATTTTATTGAAATAGGCATTTTAGATACTAAGCACCAAGATAACCTAATTATATCTTTGACAGAAATACTTAGGATAGTCTATTACTTCTTTACTATTTGCTCCTTCACAATGCAGAATTATTTTTTTAGAGGCAGGCCAGTTTATGAATGAATGCTACTTTAAAAGTTTTAGAAATCCTATTTAGGAAGATTCAGTGACTGACCACAAACACACTAAATGACCTCTATCTCCTGCTCATTGAAAATGTGGGGTAAGTATGAGCTGTCATTATCCCTCTTTTATGGATGATGTGAAAATTCATTAGCATCTTCTCACTAAGTTATTTTTTGTTTCCTGACTCCTCCATCTCTTGTAGCACAGAATAGTGATGCTTAGTTTTATTGTTTATAATTCAATAGGTCAGAAGAAGCATGTTTATTAAGATATTTTGGGTCCTAGAAGGGGGAAAAAAAGAAAAAAAGGTTATTCAGACTACTGCACACTAAAAATAATATTCTATAAGGAATACGCCTCAGGGTCTTCTAATAGGTGGACTCTTATTAGATGTTTGGGAATATATACTAGAGCTTTTCAAAAGGTAGAAGAAATTTTATTTGAGAATAAGGAGCTCTTTCTGATAAGATACATAAAAATTTCTGATATAATATCTAAGAAGAAAACATCAAGTCAAAGTAAAATAATGGTTTGAAATTACTTTCAAATGAATTGAGTACATCTCTACCATGCAATATGTTGTATTACTGTTAAAATCAATGTTTTTAAATTATAAAAATAGTGAATACTCAATTGTCTTTGGAAAACTTGTACAGTTAGCAGGAGAAAAAAATTAACTCTTAGAAGAAAGCACAACTGCTACTCAGATTAGGAATAATTCACCATGTCAATATTAATTGTTTAATTGTGGTTTAAAATCTTATTTCTTGAATATGATTTATTTACATGTGCATTGTTTTCTCTCTTATGATAAAATAACTAAACTTTTTCAGGTTATATACCACCTTATAATGCTACAGTAGTTCAGAAGTTATTGGATCAGGGAGCTCTACTAATGGGAAAAACAAATTTAGATGAGTTTGCTATGGGGTAAGTAAAGTAAATAAAATTGAAATTTTCTTCTCTTGTTTTTCGTATATCTGTACTTTTAATTTCATTAATATAGGCACCTAAACTAGTAAGATGATTTCATGAGGATTCTAATTCCAGTTTCCTAGTCCCACTATGAAATTATATTCAGTTTTCTAATAGGTATACAGTAATATTTCATTTTAGTTTTAGTTTGCATTTCCCTGATGAATAATGCTTTTAAATATTTTTTATGTGTTTATTTTGCCATTCATATATATTTTTTAGTGAAGTATCTGCTCAAGACTTTGGCCCACTTTTTAAATTATATTTTTAAAATCTTATTGAATTATAAGAGGTCTTTCATATGTTTTGAATTTATGTCCATTACAAATAGGTGATTTGTAATTATATTGTCCAAGTATCTGTCTTATCTTTTCATTCTCTGAAAATGCCTTTCAAAGAGTAGAAGTTCTTAATTTTGATCAAGTCCAATTCATTAATTTTTTCTCTTATGATTCATATTTTATGTGTCCTAAGAAATCTTTACCTAACCATGATCACAAAGATTTTTCTCATAGAAGTTTTATATTTTAGCTCTTATGTTTAGACATGTGATCCACATTGAGTTAATTTTTTGTATATAGTGTAAATAAAGTTGTTGTTGTTTTTAATATATGGGTATCCAATAATGACTGCATTATTTGTTTAAAAAAAAAAGATAATCCTTTCCTCATTAAATTACTTTTTTTTTTTTTTTTGGTCAGAAATCAAGCACATCTAAGTCTACTGGGCACTCTTCTATATTTACTCA